GCTGCTCTCCCCTCACCCTACAGCCTCATTGTGAGGGGAGGGGGTGGGGGTGGGGGGAGACATCAGAGGGAAGCTCTTGGGACAGCACATGCGTGTGTGCCTTTGGGGTGGAGCGTGGACAGAGGGACAAAGGGAAGGCATCTATCACAGATGGCCACAGCAATGAACAAAAAGTCTTTTACAGGTGACTGCATTAAAAAAAAAAAAAAAAAAAATCACAGTCACAGACTGACTGGCTGCCTCAGTGGTTGAGCGTCGACCTCTGAACCAGGAGGTCACGGTTTGATTCCTGGTCCGGCACATGCTCGGGTTGTGGGCTTAATCCCCAGTGTGGGGTGTACAGGAGGCAGCAGATCCATGGTTCTCTCTCTCCTTCTCCTTTCCTCTCTGAAATCAATAAAAATGTGTGTGTGTGTGTATATATATATATAATATATTTACAGATATATAACATATAACCACTTAAGAAATTCTGGAATGGTTTACTCCAAGAGTTCCTTAACTATGGTGCTGTTGTCAACTGGTGAAGCAATTCTTCATGGTTGGGGACTGTCCCACGTTTGTCAGGACATTTAGCATACCTGGTCCCCAGGGCACTAAACTCCCATTACAATAACCATTAAATATACAAACAAAAAACCCACCCACTCCCAGACAAAGGGTTGTGCACGCCCATGAGGAACCACTTAGAAGGCTAGAATTACATCTTTTTTTCTTACCTGCATTTTTCTAATTTTTCTGCAAAGACTAGGTATTGTTTTTGTGAAAAGGAAACTATGTCCCTCCCCCACCCCACCCCACCCCCCCTTTTTTTTTTTAAAGGAGCTCAACAGGATAGAGTACTTCAGATTCCAGCTGTCAGAAAGCCTATTCTGTCTTCCCCAGCTAAGTTTGCTCATGACAAGAATGAAAAGTGATCTTACATTATTACACAGGCGCTATAATTCATTCTAAAGTCATCAATAACAAGAAGGGTACAACTAACTCAGCTTCTGACAAATCACTTTTAGTCTCAGGTGCAGCAGACCGTGACGGGATCATGGCATCCTACAAATCCCAGGTCAAGGACTGGATTGCTTTTCGTTTGTTATAGCATTTTAAAAAGGGAACAAGTACAATTTGGTTTCGACGCGATGTTATATTTGCACGGCCTGGAGTGTGGTAGTAGGTTAGCAGCTACCCCTCACCCCAGTGAGAAAGCCTGGGCAATTTTGACAACAAATTTGGGGAAACATTGTGTTTTGTTCTCTATTATTTCATTTCCCCTGGGAAGGGGTGGGGGAAGTCAGGTTCTTAATAGTTCTTTGTCTCGGTATTTTGTTTTGCTTTTTCCCAAGGCAGAAAAGTTAACATTCTTCTGGGTTTATCGCAATCTCCGGGCTGGGACAGCAATAGTTTGAAACCTGCCCCCCATTGGACAAAGGTAAAGAGAGGGACAGACCCGGAAGATTCCTACAGCACTGGCTATCCCAATGAAACCTAGAAGCATGCCAGCTTTACAACGGAAAGCTGAGGAAACCAAAACTGTATTTCCTAATGACAGGAAACTGTAACAGTGGGAGAGATCTCAGACCCTGAGAAATGCTCCTGGTATATGGTAAGTGAACACAGCAGGTCTTTAATCCATTAAAAAAAAATTATAAAAAGAATACATATATATAAAAAAAATTATAAAGGGGGTTTCAGAAAAAAACACACTGAAAAAATGCAAAGATAAAAATTAAAATTTTAAGGGAAGGCAGGGGAGGATGGGGGCAGATGGTAAAGGGATAAGAGGTCAACCAAAAAACTTATATGTATATAAGCATAACCAATGGACACAGACAAGGGGGTGGGGTGATGAAGGACGGCCTGCAGAGGGGCAGGGGCAGGCTAGGAGAGGACAATGGGGGAAGGGGAGATATGTAATACTTTCAACAATAAAGAATTAAACATATAATCGAGCTACCATATAACCCAGCCAAAAATAAAAATTTAAATGTTAAAGTTCTCCTTAAAGATACCTAAGTTTTCCTGACTGAGAGAACACACCAGCTCCCCAGTATAATGGAAGAAAACGAACTCATATGAAGGCCCACGGGTTTTAGGCAACCCTGCTATCGGTTCTCAACCTGTGGGTCGCTGTTGTAGACCATCGGAAAACACAGATATTCACATTATGATTCATAACAGTAGCAAAATTACAGTTATGAAGTAGCAACGAAATAATGTTATGGTTGGGGGTCACCACAACATGAGGTACTGTATTAAAGGGTCTCGGCATTAGGAAGGTTGAGAACCACTGTTCCACAGGCTTCCAGAAGAAAAAAAAGGTCACGAACTGGAATAAACAGGGCATTGGAGATCTTTCCCGGCAATTGTCAGTTTTGGTTCAAACTCTTATAAAATATTTTTTTAAAAGAATTATAATAAGTATTTTTTTAAATAAATAGAATAACTAGAAGACAACAGAGAAATACTTTATAAAAATCTTGGAGGAAAAAAACCCCCACACACAATTTCTAATCTAACATTCTTTACCCAAACTATGAATTATGTGTAACCGTTGGATCAAGACATTTTGAAAGAGGCAAATCTCAATGTACAGAGGCATCCTTTCTGAGGAAACTGCGAGAGGCTGTGTGCCCCCTCCCAAAAGGAAGGCAAGACAGGGGGGGACGCTGCTCCTGGGAAGCAGGGGATCCAGCCCTGGTGGTGCAGGAAACCCCAGCCATCGGCTGTGCCTGCGTGAGCTGGGAGCAGCTCAGGGGCTCCCTGCATTCTGAGGGTGACCCTGGCAGGATACCTCTCAGTTCCGTCTCAGAATGTGTCTCCGTTTTTCTAAGAAGAGATGTAGACAACCAAGGCACCATGAGTGACTAAATGTCCAGAAAGAATGACTGACTCCCAGGAAAACAAGAAATGGGGCAGGCAGGGGAAAGTGCTCCTAAACTTCTCAGTGGTTCCGTGTTCTAAGGTCAACACTTGTGACTGATCTAACCCCAGATAGAGCGGGAGAGCGGAGGGTATATGTGTAACGAGGTGGCGCAGAGGTGGCTGTCTAAGGCCCGAGAAATCATTGGGTCTGGCCCCGCCGAGGCAGTAGCGGTGAGTTAATGAAATGCCTGACCACAGAGACCAGGCTGATCTTTAGGTCGGTACTTAATTTTGTACGGCCCTTGAATGATGTTATAAATATCCAAATAGCCCTTGGCAGAAAAAAAAGGTTCCCCACCCCTGATTTAGAGTTCTAAGGGATTTGAATGTTCGTCCCTCTAGGTATGGAGACTGTGGGGAAACGTGTCTGCCTACAGACTATATGATTCTATATAAATGTGTGCATATATAGCGCTGGCAAGAATTCAAGCTCCACGGTGGCAGTCGTGAGAGTCATTTTGCTTACACAGTTTTCGGCTTTTTTCAAAAAATTGTATTGAAATCTAAAAGGATGCATGCTGATATATCAACGGTGGCGCTGCTTCTAGGGATGGGATAGTGGGCCGTGTACATGTTTTCCTTTTCTACTTTCTGAAAAAGTGTGGAACACAGAGCTTACTGATCATTAATGAGGGAAACAAGAAGCATTTTACTGTATGCCGGGTCGAAATCCACCCCAGGGGAGAAGCCCCATCCCTGTCACCTTAGCTTCTGTTTTCTCTGAAAGAGCAGGGGAGCTGCCAGCTCCTTCACTCACACGGCAAATATTTGTCGAATTCCTACAAGCCAGGCCCTCCTACAAGGCGATTCTAATCCCTGAGCTTTTCATTGTGTCTTTCCAAGTCCTTCCACACCAGCTGGGGGCGGGGGATTCAGTAGACAGGGGAGCCGGGGGTGGGGGGAGAGAAAGAGGGGTGTCTGAGACAAGGGAGGAACAAGTAAGCTCCGTGCGGTACACAGCTTTTGCTGAAGGTTCTCCGTCTTCTGTCATTTGTGCACCATCCTGGCTCCCAGTCCCCACCCCCACGTAGGCTAGATCTTCATCCAAGTGTTCACAGCAAAGTATGGGATACGAGGCGGAAGGGGCACTGGCTAGACAGCTGGATGGGATGCCCATTACAGGGAAGAGCAGGCCCCTGGCAAGCAAGATAGGCCCGGGTTTGAATTTCAGCTCTTCCACCTGGGAGGGAGGTGTGGTGGGTGACTTCCTTCCCCTCTCTGTGCCTCAGTTTCCCCACATGCAAAATGGGATAATAACCGAAGCCACCTTCCCAGGGCAGGACTGTTGTGTGGGTTACAGAAGGCCAGAAGGCATCTAAGAGCGTGAGGAGACCCTGGAACACGGCGGAGAAAGAGACCGTGGCCACCGGTCCTTTTCCAGCTGAGAAGGACTGGCTGGGACTTCGCAGGAAATCCCTTAACCTCTCAGCCTCCACGTCCTCCTCCTGGGAAGAGGGGAACGCACATGCCCGGCCTGCTCCCCAGGAATGCTCTCAGCCCACACCAGGCTGCGCCCCAGCCCCAAGCGGGAGGGAGACCCCGTGGTCCTCAGCGGAGGGGGCCCTCAGACGGCATTCAGCCAACATCTCCTGACTCGCCTCCACGTTATTGCCAGGGAGAATATGAGGGGAAGGGATGAATCCTCGCCTCTCTCCCCCTATCTTCCGAAAGCTTTGCTTTAGGGAGGAGGCCACCCACGTGGGGAGCAGGTGAGGGCGTGCACCCGGTGTCTGTGACTCCCATTCACATAAACTCCCGGCTCCCCAGCCTCACAGCTCCCAGGAGGAGGCTCCATCACCGGCTGGGAGAACCCCGACGGACATCCTGGGGGGGGGGGGGGGATCCCAAGCCTCGTCCCCAAGAGGACCGGACCTCGCTCCGAGAGGCGGGCTCTGAGTGTTAGTTGCACTTTGGGAAGAAGGCGAAACGGAGCGAAAAGGCCCGTCCGCGGACCGGCGCTGGCTCCGAGCCGAGGAGCGCGCGCGCCCCGGTCCCTCTGCGCCCCCCGCCCACCCTCACCCCACACCCGGCCCCCGGCCCCCGGCCCCCCGGCCCCCGGCCCCCGCCCCCGGCCCCGCACTCACGATCTCCGCCACGATGAGCAGCCCGGGCGCCGTGCGCAGGAACTCCCGGTCGTAGGCGAAGGAGCTGCTGCTGGTGGAGAAGTTCTCGGCGAAGGAGCTGGCGGTGGTGGTGACGGTGTGCGGGCGGGGGCGCGGCGGCTCCTCCATCGTCGCGCCTCGGCCGGGCGGGCCCTTCCGCGGGGACCCCCAGCGCGCCGGGGGCAGGACGCGCGGCCCGGAGCCCGGAGCCTGGAGGGGGACCGGGGCGAGGGGGAGGGGAGCGCGGCCCGCGCCGGGAACGGGGCGTGCAGGGGGCGCGCACCGGGGCCGGTGTGTCCAGCGAGTGCGCGGCGCCCCCGATCCTCGGCTGCGGGCTCCCGGGCGGCGAGGGGGCGCGAGGGGCGGAGGAGGAGGAGGAGGAGGAGGAGGAGGAGGAGGAGGAGGAGGAGGAGGAGGAGGAGGAGGAGGAGGAGGAGGAGGCAGGGCCGGCGCTGGGGAGGCCCCGGGCGGCCGGGCGGGCGGCGGAGGCCGGGGGGAGGGGAGGGGGCGTGGAGAGGGGCGGGCGCCGGGCGCGCGGGGAGGGGCCGGGCGCCGCCGGCCGGGGCCCTCCACCTGTTGCCCGGGCCGGGGCGTCTCGGGGCGCGGAGCGATGCCCGGGCGGCGGGGCGGGGTGCAGGGTGTGGGGTCCGGGCTCCCGCTGCCCCCGGCCCGGCGCAGGCTCCGCCCCCGAGGGCGGGCGGCCGCGCTGACCTGTCTGCTTCCACCTGACGGCGGCCCGGGCTGCGGGCGCCCCAGGGGCACCGAGGCCGCCGACCGAGCCCTCCGACAGGGGGAGGGTGTGCCCGGACGGCGGGAACTCTGACCCGCCGGACCTTAGACCGGATCGATGCGGGGAGGCCCACGGGACTGACTGCCCGGGGGCTCTCCCCCACCCTCTCCCCCGCCCCGGTCACCGCCAGCGGCGGCATTTCCTGCCCCTCCTGCCGGGAACAATGCGAGGAACCGGCCTCATCGCCGGGCTGGGAGGGCGAGACCCCGCCGGGCGCACGCAGTGGCCCCGCCGTGGGGATCCGCGGAGCCGAGGGGCCGGCTCCCGGCCGGAGATGGGGGAGGAGGGCATTGGGTCTCCGGTCACTCTCGGAGGGAAATGTTGGAAGAGAAAGCTGAAGCAGTGTGGGTGTGCAAAGTGAATGCTGTGACCCACGGACGGTGCTTTTCGTGCTCAGTATTAGCATGTGCGCCTCTGCACGCCAAGATGCAAAGGGCCTCCAACCCATTTCTTTCTTTAAAAAAAAATTTTTTTTAATTGACTTAAGAGAGGAAGGGAGAGAGACACACCATTGCATGCTCACAGGGAGAGCAGCTTGCAACCTGGACATGTGCCCTGACCAGGAATCCAGCCGTGACCTCTTGGTCCAAAGGTCAATGCTCAACCACTGAGCCATGTGGGCTGGGCCGGCAAACCATTTCATTCAACGAATCAAGCAGGGACTTTCCTCCTCAAGGAGCTGCTGTGGGGTAAATGCGTTACAGGGTCAGGGTTTCAGAAAGCAGTTAGTGGTTGTGTGGGGGGACCCTGTGGACTGAAGGGTCCTATTTGTGAGCACCTTGGTATAGGGTCAAGTGGGACCTGAGCTCCAGCACTGAGGCACTGGCCTTCCTCAGCTGTACCACCATGAGCAAGGGGCTGCACCTCCCTGGGCCTCAGTGGTACCATCTGTAAAATGGGCTTTGACAGGTGGCCTTCTCACCCAAAAAGATCATGTTCTGGGTGGCCCCTCCTCCTGTTTCGTGAAAGGATGACAAGAGACAAATGTTATTTAGGAAACCACCGAAAGGAAAGGACATAATCCTTGGTCACAAATAGAGAATAGCTTTGGGTTCACAGCAGAGGCCTTCACTCTGATCTGTTCCAACACAGGCTGAAAAAACGGGGTCAGAAGTAACATTTTACCCACACAACGTCCTATCAGCTGAACTAAGAGGAGCAGAAACTACCATCTGAGAAAACAAGGAACTCGTTTCTTTTCAGTCTAGAGCCAATCTGGAGGACCTCAGGAATGAAAGTTAAGGCTTCCGACACAGTGCAAAGATAAAGGTTTGGGCCGTAACTGGTTTAGCTCAGTGGATAGAGTGTCGACCTGCAGACTGAAAGGTCCCAGGTTCAATTCCAGTCAAGGGCATGTACCTTGGTTGCGGGACATGCCCTGTGGGAGGTGTGCAGGAGGCAGCCGATCGATGTTTCTCTCCCATCGATGTTTCTAACTCTCTATCCCTCTCCCTTTCTCTCTGTAAAAAAAAATAAAATAATAAAATATTTTTTTTTAAAAGGTAAAGGTTTGGGGAAGTTCTGTCCAGAGCATTTGTTAAGCACCTTGCACTGGTGGGCAAATGCAACAAAAATTAAAACATGGCCCTCTCCCCAGGAGGAGGAGGCGTTCTCCAGGTATGGTCCCTGGACCAGTGGCATCAGCATCACCTAGGCAACTGTCGGAAATGCAAGTTCTCAAGCCCCACTTCAGACCCATTGAGTCAGAAACTGGGCTGGGGGGAGGGGGGAAGCTGGGGTGGATGCAGAGCCCATGAAGCTGTGTTTGGACCAGCCCTCCAAGTGACTGTGATGCACGCTGTAGTGTGAGAGTTACTGATTTCAGGAAAGCGATCATGTCCCTGGGGAAATGTGAGATACACATGTAAGATGCCTGGAGGAGTCTGTGGCATCCTTCGTGACATTTTGGGATCGCAGGAAGACAGGAAGGAAGTGTAGACAGCTCTATTTCTGTAATACAAAGGACAATTCCTCCTCACAAAACCCTTGCAGCCAGATGGATTTCAAAATTCAGATTTTTTTTTTTTTTTTTTTTTTTTTTAGAAAGGTAAAATGTACATACACCATATACTCCTTAACATCCTCGATAAGGGCTGGAATGGCCTTCTCATCAAATACACTGACTTTCTGTGGTGAAAATATACGGATGATGTTCAGTGTGTGTTTGTTGCAATTTCATAAACACTCCTCAACCATGAGCGGTGTAAAAGGACAGTGAGTCTGTGGCTCAGGAACTTGGGCAGAGTTTGGCTGGCAGCTCTTCTGCTCCATGTGGTGTTGATTGGAGCCTTTCACGCAGCTGCTTCCACGTGGGCAGGCCTGGAAAACTCCAGAAGGCTTCACTCCTGTTCACTCGCGTGCTGGCACTTCTGGCCTCTCTCTCTCTCCACGAAGCTTAGGCTTCCTCCCAGCATGGTGGGCTCAGGGTACTTCTACATGGTACCTTCCAAGAGGGATCCTTGAAAGAGGGGCTAAAGAGAAGCAAGCTCTCCCAAGGCCCAGTGTTAAAAGCTACCCAGCATCATTCCTGCCACATTCTCTTGGGGAAAGCCAGGGACAAGGGCAGCCTAAAGTCAGACAGGGGACTAGGAAACCGCCTCGGATGGACGGAGCAGAATGGCAGCCACCTTTTAATTCAGGAAGAGGGATAAATAAAGACAGCAAATAGCTTCACATCTGTTTAAGTCAAGGTTTCCTACCAAACATGTTGTCTGCAAACTTAAGAGGACATTTTTGGTTTTCAGCATTTTTTAAAAAAATACATTTTTATTGATTTCAGAGAGGAAGAAAGTGGGAGAGATAGAAACATCAGTGATGAGATAGAATCATGGGTCGGTTGCTGGGAATGGAGCCTGCAACCCGGGCATGTGCCCTGACCGGGAATTGAACCTGACCTCCTGGTTCATAGTTTGATGCTCAACCACTGAGCTACACCAGCCGGGCGGCTTTCAACTTCTTAGATTTCAGAATTACAAAGCAGTGGAACCCTGGCTGTTGACCAGTTGGCTGCTCCTTCCTCAAGTGCTCATAGTCTGTCCAGAACAGTCCTGATTGGCGTCCCTTCCTCCAATGACATATTCATCCAATCTCCCCGCCACCCACCCATCTTCCTGCAAGAATTATGGCCCTGAAACCCCAGGCTCAAATCTGGGCTAACATCCCACAGGCCTGCCCAGCCCTCAATACATTGTTACATGTCTCTGCAGGTGTGACCATTTTATGCCCAAATCAGCCCTTCTCAATCTAGAAAGCCTCCTGCCTTCACCCACAGCTCAAACTCTGCATCCTTCAAATTCCATTTCAAAAGCCACTTCTTCTGTGATTTCCTCTGGGTTTCCATAAAGCTTGTTCTTTCCTTTAGATTTCATTCATCTTTATGCACTTCTCTTGGTTGTTTCTTGGGGAACTATGAATCACCTCTCTTTGTTTCCTGCCACTTCCACGGGGGCGTGCTGAGACCCGAATGTTCTTGTGAAGTGCAGAAAAATATCAAAGGAAATAAGGGTAGACCCTGCCCCCTCATAAAAGACGTTTTGCAGAACAGAGCTTTGAGCTGAGACTTGCGGGAAGTAGACTTGTAAACATTGGATGAGAAGGTGGGCAGGCGGGACCTCACCCCCTGAAACCCAGGCCATTCAGTGGGGACCCGCGCTCATAAATAACTCAATGGAGAAAAAAATGGACACCCTGTGACTTCCACCTGCTATCTGAGAGAAGACAAGATTAAGGAACATTCTCTTTTATGAAGAACTTTTCATAGATTAGCCGATCATGTTTCTCTTCATTATTGTTCTAGTTTAAAATTATTGGTGATTGTTTCGGGCAAGAATCATCAATGGATATTAGAATTAGTGGGTGAAAGTATGATGGGGGGAAAAATGGGGAGGAGGGGAATCTTTATCTCATCTGGAAGTATTTCCAGATACTATGCTCTCTTCCTAATTCATAAATAGCTTTGCAATGGAGAAACTTGTGAGCCACCAGCAGATTTCTAAGTTAATTATCACCAGACAGCATGTACCTCCTGTAATGATGCACTGGGTAAGATACAACATCGCTTCTGTGGTATTCTTACCAACATAAACATCCTGGATTTAATCATGGTGAGAGAACAGATAGGCTAAAGTGAAGGGACATCTTATTAAGAGCTGTTAAAAATAAACAACAGACCCAAAATGGAATCACTCTTGCTAAGCCCCATCAAGACTTAATTCCTAACTTAATTGCAGTTAGAGCCTCTCCCAGGAGTGGAATTTTAAACCAATTAGTCTGGAATTTCCTCGCCAGTCCTAGTGAGATAATTTGCCTGATAACTCCCCCCCACCCCTCCACACACACA